TTGTTTCTTAATACTCACTATTCAATAAATATTTCAGGCATAAAAACTATTTCTCATATTAGTATAATATTGAGATTATTCCTACAAAAACTATAATTAACTGTATATGATTTACTTTCTTTGTATTTCGTAATTCTTGTAAACTTCAGTGAATAAAATACGACAGCAGATATTCAAATGTAAGTCACTACTATTAATGAAATAGATACGTTTCCCGTTATGATTCACATAACAATGGAATGTAAATACATAATATACAGACTCACATTACACCTAACATGATACAAACATATACATCACATATCTTACCCAATATATGGTATCAGACCCTTGTTATATATACAGCAATTCAGCTACATGTACATCATATCAAGTGGATCTGAATAATAACAAATATCATAATATACTCTTTACTTATTAATTTATAAAAAAAATGATTCACATATTCACTTTTACTATTCATCAAATGAATGTATTTATAATATTAAAATCAACTGACCTTCTATGGATAAATAAAGTCCAAGATCAATATATCACAAGAACTGAATGACCAAACTGATCATTCCAGACTCAATTTGAAAAATAATAATATTAATAGAAACTTCAAGATAAAAATCACATGACTTAAACTTTCAGCCAACCAAAACAAGAATTCAATGATCCATGAAAAACTGACCAGAACTGGTATGGAAATCCATTTCTGACATATTTAAATAGAATGAGAATAAATTTATGGAAAGCTGTTACTGTAAATGATAAATGTTTTAAATTAAATTTATTTTATAATCTGTTAAAATAAATCAACTCACACACTACTACATATATATATATATATATATATATATATATATATATATATATATATATATATATATATATATATATATATATATATATATAGGTTTTTCAATTATATATACCGGTAGCATGGGTAGTATATATGAATTACATAGTGTAACTTGCACGGATCTAGAGGGGGATCGGGACCCCCCCCTTGAATTTGCAGAGGTATTAAAAGTATATACTGAAGCAAATAAAAATGACTTTGGACCCCTAGAGAACGTGTACCCATCATTACCACCACGAAATAGGTCAGTGATTTTCACGTTCTGGAAAAGGATTCAATCTAATTAAAATTAGACTTGTATTTTCGCTCCTCTACTACATGTACTTGTATTGAAGCGTATAGTAGAGGAGCGAAAATACAAGTCTAATTTTAATTAGATTGGAAATGGATTTTCCGTTTTTTATCTTTTTTTTTTTTCTTTTTGCTTGTTAAGTAATTTTCTGGATAAGGAAGGGAAATTATGTGGGGGTTTTTTCTTGTTAAGAAATTTTTGGGTTGGATTTTTTTTTTTTGGTCTTGGGTGCCCCCCCCCCCCCCCCACCTGGGCACAATTATACTGTATAATATTAAATGTATATACTTGCAGAGGCCTTCCATACTTTGAATACTGATAGACCTAAACCCTCTGCAGTGGTGCCACTTATATTCATGCATTCTTGCTTATATGTTATTTTGTTGACTTGTGTTCATTTGTATTCATATACCCCAGTCAAGGCCCGTAGAACGGTGAGGGGGGGGGGCTATCCACCCATCATTTTTTCTGAGTATAGTATTTTCCTATAGTTAATTTTCATTTAAAAGCTGGTCCCCCCCCCCCCACACACACACACTTTTTGTTGCTGTAAATTCGAGCACTGGCAAAGCAAATTCCAGTACATGTAAAAATGTAAAGTAAGAGTCTGGTCCACCCCCACCCCTAAGAATTCGATTTATTTCCCTTGTGATATGGGGTGGTGGGGTGGGATGGGGTGAGTTGCCCCCCCCCCCCCCCCCCCACCACACACCCCACTTTTAGAACTTTTTCCACGGGCCTGCAAATGCAAATGTAAATTTGTGAAAAATGTTTTCCATTTCTTTGTTTTGGTCTAGAATATAATGTTATTTAGAAATACTTTTATCTATTTCAGTGTCATTTACTATTGATTATCATTTCAAAGGGCACACCACCGGCTCAAACTGCATCATCGTTGATTTTTTTTCCCCATCAGGCCCATGAGTGGTATTACAAAAATGTATTTGTGACTAAAATATTGATGAAAAAATGATATTGTAAATCAAAGCTTTTGTGAATGGTAAATGTTGCATGTAGCAAATTTTAATTTGCCCCATGATCATATTTTCTGGAGGAAAACATGGATTTTCGCTTCTTAATCTATAAAGTATCTTTTATTAATACCGGGGAGAAAAAAAAACGTCATTCCGATGCCGGGAATCGAACCCGGGCCGTCTGGGTGAAAACCAGAAATCCTAACCACTAGACCACATCGGATCACCTTATTAATATGTCTTTTTACTAGTATATATCAATTTAATAAAATTCATTTCTAAGTTTTCTTTGTTTAAGATTTATTCACTTTGTTTTCTGTGTTATGTTTTTAATCAAACATATATTTTATATTCAATATTCATCTGCTGTGCCATTAAAACAATGAAGTAAATATTTTTTCGGAATATCTCTAATATTCTAACGCCTCGGGGAAAACTCAAGAGAGCTCCGAAATACTACCAAAAACAAGTTTTCCATTTTTGGCTAGGATTAGGACAGGTGAGTGTTGGTGTACCTTTTCTACTGTTAGAGAAATGAAATATAAGTGTAAACTATAAAGAAAAAACAACAAAAGCAAAACTACAGAAAGAATTTACTGAAGAATCACAGAGTGGAGAAAAGGGTAGCAAGGCCTTCGCCCGTTCATAACACAAAAATGTAAAAATTATTTTCCGATTCATTACGGTGCAGGGTTTGTAGCCTATCATGAATTTTAATTAGTTATTTGCGGAAAACATTATGATAAACTGAAATTTACTCACAGCATTGCAATACTTTCATTCAGTGTACGCACTGCGTGTTTGTGAATATTGGGAATTAAAGGAGGGAGTGGAGGAGTTAGCACCCCTCCAAAATAAATAAAATAAATAACAGTTATAAATGTAATCATCACATGCAGCCAGTTGATGTTGGAATATTACTACATAAATAAGGGAAGTGATTTATTTTAAATAATAGGTAATAAACCCCTAATGCTTAGATCTAACTACTTTGAAATTTCCCTTTTACTCACGGGCACTGAAAGTTAATGTACATACAGTCAAACCTTGTCATCTTAAACTCAATAGGACCAAGGAAAAACTTGGGAAGATATCCGAGGATTCAAGATATCCAGGGTAAAATACATAAAGAATAAGGGGTTGGGACTTCCAAATCACTGTGACAAATCCATGTTATTCGAGATATCGGTGTTCGAGATACTGAAGTTCAACTATTAAGTAAGTGCATGTATGAAAAAGGCATACTTCCAGTGCCAGTGCATTGTATAGACCAAGGTTCTATCTTAGCTGTCGCAATTTTACAAATTTTGTTTTAAAAATAAAATTGACACCATGTCTTAAAATTTTATGTCTGAAATGAATATTCAGCTGCAGATCATATAGTTGCACCCTCTTTCACAATTTCACAAGGGCGAAGATTGTTACAACATATGGACTTGTAAATTTCAAATCATTTATCTTAGCTAAAGCTGTAAAAATTTTTAAAATAATTACTCACAAAACTCTTTTTACACCAACAAACTACTTCATTTTCACTTTTGCGAGATTCTTGCATAAAATACAATATTTACTCTAAGAACATCTTTTTTGTTGTTGTTGTGTTTAAAGCATTTGTTTAAATATAATATTTTGCAATCCAAATGTAGATATATAAATAATTTGGTAGATATATAAATAATTTGATGTTTTTAACTATGACACCCAGCTGCCTTCTTGTCAAGACTGTATATTAATAGGTAAAAGTTAAGATGAAAGGCCTCTTTATGCATTAACATAGTTTTTATTTTAACATCACAATGTCTTTTTTATTTATGGTAGAGACAGAATATTCCTCACCTGGTATATGTCTGTGTGTATATAGAGTTAGCCTTGAGGGTAAGGTGTTCACGGAATCATTTATCAGAGTTAACTCCCTTCTGACAGTCCTCAGGTCAAATTTAACTCATCTGTCATCTGCTGTACAGTGAAAGTTCTACTTGTGAGAATTTATAGGTATTACTCTGAGAATTGTAGCATACTGATTATTTGTTACATATATGTACAGTGATCAGAATATTTCAGAAAATCTATCATTGAACAAGCTTAGCTATATACTATAGATTCATAGTTTATACTGTTTCATGTTAAACATGTTAAACTATTAAGGTACAATACTACATGCTGTTCTTTTGCAGGGCAAATTGATATAGTTGCCTGGTGAATATGATGTAACAGTAATTGTTTAATAAATGTCATTTAACATTATTAATTTGCCCAGTAAAAATTATAATAGGCACTCTGTATCTAATGTGTGTAAATGACAAATGTTTAGTCTATATAGATTTTATAGTAAAGTCAGGGTACACCTCTGTAGGCCATATTTGTCATGAACTAAATCAGATGGGGATAGAGTGCTGCCTGTATGCACAAGAACAGTACAGTAGTTATCATGCAAGGGACAGTAATATTGGGGGAAAAATCATTTTCTTTTTGTGTATATTTAAAGACATGATAGACATAAAATATTCTTCATATGGCAGAGGTAGTTTTTTTTTTTTATACAAAAAGCACACATGGCTGCCTTAAAGAATTGTAATGATGATCATACTAGATAAAGTTATGAGAATTCCTCTGATTATCAGCCCTTTGTCAAATCCACCAAAGTAAAAATAGACCACAAGCTTCAAATTAACTTGGGTTTTTGAAATATTTCTGGCACAGCACAGGAAGCAGTGTAATGATATAACCAGGGATGTCTAATGATAAAAATATTACAGAGATTGTTAAAATTCTGTGAGTCACTTGTAGAGAAGGATGAACAAGCCTCTGTGTACTTCATGAATGAGTGCATGTACTCCCACACAGGCACCTGTAAGTAAAGCTACCATTGTTTATCATAAGGTGCATAAAGCAGGAGTATTTTGTTAGCTGCTTATAATGTATGATTTATGAATGGAATTTGTTTATTTACATGTATCCATCTCATCTCTGGTAAGATTATTCTATTTAAATTTTTACGCATAAATATACATTATGTAAATGAGTTAATCATAAACCTGAACTTAAAGCCAGTGTACCTGAGTGATATACTGTACAAAACTCTCTCAAAAATTGGCCACCAACAATTTGATCATGATTTTAGACTTATCTGTTATATAGATGTAAGTTTGTAAAATTATATCCCCTTTTTTGTTGGAAAGGTGTGTGTGTGGAGGGTGGGGGGTACAAATCATTGATCAGGTTTAGATCTGTTCTTCATTAGGTACAGCCTGTAGACAGTAGGTTAAGGTCAGCATTTTATTAATAAGATAGTGACTATGGGTAAGGGTGATACCTCAGGTCAGTATAATATTAGCCTCACCATGTATGGAACCTTCTTATTGACTGAGACTACCTCCATCCCCATTTTCTCCTGTTAAAGAGGTTCGTTCCTGAGCTTTTGAGCATATTTTTGTCTTGACCTCTATTTAAAAAATTCTGGATAATATTTTAGTTCTAACGATAAATTTGGATTCTACAGTGCTAATAGTACCATATTCAGTTAAAACCCCATGATTAAATTCCATACCGAAAGCATTAAGTGAGGAACTATATTTTATGGCGGAAGTTTTTTTTTAGACAAAAATGATCAATTTTTCTCTTTCGAAGTATTTACAGTATTGTTAAGTTTGTATTCCTATTTTTACATGCAGCCTGCACATAGAGTTATTTTGTGCAGTGAAATGTTTTATGCTGGTCCTAAATTATATATTAAATTAACTGTCATGAATTCTATCATCATATTTAGAAAAATATAACAAACATTTTGTGAAAGTCCTGAAAAAAAAATAGCCCAATTTAAGCTGAAAATTAACACAATTTTAGTAATATCTAAAAATTAACATAACAGACCCCAACTTTTAATTTTCTTTTCTGAATATATAAGATATTTTTAACAATTCTGCTTAAATTCAGAAAAATGGCATTACTTTCAAATGATTTTATTGCTTGTTAAATTTTTAATGCCAGAAAAATGACATTTTTTGAGTGCAGAGAGGTCAAATAATTGACTATGCCAGGTAATTTGAAACTTTTTTGTTGTCACAAATTTTATTGTGACTATTCAAGATGAAAATAGACTGTGTTTGATCCCCTAATTTATTTGGATAAAAAATAATAGGGGAAAAAACTTTGAAAAATTGATTTATGTGTAAGACGTAATTTCAGTGCAAAAAGGTCACATTGAAAGCTCCGTAGCGCCAAAAGAAGCGCATTGACCCCCATTTTTTGATTTGATTTTTAGTTAAGCTATGTGTGTAGATTTTAAAAATATACTTGACAAAAAATTCTCAATACTTTTGATGACAGGATCCAACCTCCTTAATGATGATACTCATGTCCTCCTGTCTGCATATCCTAACTAGGTCTACATTAGAGATCTTTTCTGGGCAGAATATTTGAATGATTTTACAAAGACGTGGTGTCAAATGTGGCAGAGCTTAGGAAGATCATCTTCTGTCATCCTCCAGCATTAGGATCCATAGAAGAGTGTGGATATGATGCTGCTCTAGTATAATTTAAGCTTGGTGCCATACTGGGCAGATCTGCAGATGTTGTTCATGCTCCTGAAAAGATTCCTGGCCTTCCCTAGTTTGCTGCAGATGTCTTCCTCTGTCAGGATTGATGATGATGTTAATGTAGATGTAGCAATCTGCCTTATGAAGGTCTGTTCTGTAAGTTTAGGGCCATTGTTTAATTCTGTCATTTTAGTGCTGATTCTCAGTCCCATCTTCTGTCCAAAGGTGTTTAGTCTACCTGTCTTCTTGTGCATGTGCCGGTGAGTGTGTGATAGCAGTCCAAATCATGTATACAAAGTCCAGGTCTTCCAGCATTGAGAAGAGGGTCCAGTTGATACCTCTTGGAGTGTCTTCTGTTCTTCTTTTCATGACCTAATCAATGACCAACTTGAAGAGAACTTTTGACATCATACATTTTTGTTTTGACACCAAAGAATTAAGTTGTTACTACTCCCTATGGTGCATTTGAAGTTGTTGTAAAAACAAAAAAAGCACTCCACTGGACTCCAGATGGAAAGAGAAAGACAGGAAGACTTTAATAAGAACAACATAGAGAAGAACAATAGAGAATGAGGTTTAAGAAAAACAATGTAGCACTGTTGAGGATCACTGACGAGGCTGGCCCAGCACACGCAGAGAAGGAAATATGTTTGTTGCTGTGATAGACACCACAGGTTGTAATGATAGATTATTTCATATCCAGTTACTTAGTACAATGTAAGATACCCGATAATGACAAATACGTTGCTGGTAAACATTTCATATGAAATTTTACACAGGACATGCAGGAGCTAAAAACTATTATTTTCAAATATGCACTAATAAGTATGAAGTCACATAGATTTTGTTGCAGACTATAGTCGGGGGTGGGATAAAGGTTTGTTCACGTACAGTTTACCACAGGTGTTGTCCCACACATAGCTACTGTACACACATGATGCATTTGCTTGCACTTTGCCCATTGCTGCAATAGCTTCAGATGTTATATATGACTACATTTTTTGAGTCAATGGCTTTGAAGAAAAAGAGTGTTTAGTTATTTCCTAAGCAATTGGTTCTGTGGATAAATACAGGCAACTCTCGAAACCTCGAAGTCCGCGGGACCGAGGAAAAACTTCGAGAGATCAAGAGTTCGAGTTTTCAAGAGTCCGGAATTTTCCGGGTTTGTTGACAGGTTTTAAAATTAGTCTTACTGGATGTAATAATTTTCATGCAGTGCTAACCTTTTACACGTGGTTTTTCGTAATTCAGATGAATATTTCATTAAACTGAGTAAAGCAAAAAATGTATATCGTCATATCATGTATATTTATTTATTCTTTGTAATACGGACATCATACTACGCATTCGTTACATGAAAACGACATTTTACAGCGTCGTATAGAGTTTTCTCTATTCCAAACATGATCATTGAAAACAGTTCTGTAAGTATTTGTCCGCAATAAAAGTCGTCATATTGACATTGAGGCTGTTTCTGCTTTTTTTCATATTTCGTTTAACTTTGACACTGACTCGAAATAAAAATTAAATTAGTGTTTTGTCTTTTAATAAATTACTACTTTTTAATGACACTGCGTCTCTAAATTATCTTAAAACAGTCGATGATAATTATTTTAATAGCATATAGGCAAAATATGATTCATTATAAATCAATTATCACCTTGCAGCATAAGTGTCACCTGAATAAACATCCTGTCCCTCGAGACCTGCGTCTTCTGCCTGGGGCCATTTAAATGTCCAGGTAAAGGTGCTAATTATATAATCTTGTATACACATAGCCACTTCGAGGTATCGAGGGTAAATTCTAATAGAATATGCATAGCGGGACTGCATTTTGACTTCGAGGGATCAAGGGTTTCGAGAGATCAAGAGTTCGAGAAATCAAGAGTAAATTTGCTTAGTTATATAGTGGAAAATTTCGGGACCGGAGACTCACTTCGAGCGATCAAGAACTTCGAGAGATCGAAGTTCGAGCCATCAAGAGTTACCTGTATTGTACTGGTATATCAAAAGTGTCATGAATTGAGAGAGTGTCCCTGAGAGAAATTTTCTTTTAAATACCTTTAAAAAGTATCTGGTTTTGGAAATAAGTAGAGCACAGAAGCAAATTTGTTTAAACATGATTGACAAGCGTTGAACTTAAATAATTTAGCTAATTGCTAATTAAAGCTTTTGCATCGAGTCAAAGTAATACCGGTAAATCCTGGCACTGAGACTTAATTAATCGTGTAATGTGAACTCTCCAATAACATGCTTTTGGTTGGAAAATTGGTAAATGTACAAAATTTTTAAGTTGTTCAACTGAAGCAGCTTTTAAGATGTACTGGTTATGGAAATACTAGTAGTGAATGTTACAATAATGAAATTCCAATGTGTACCTCCTACGTTACTATTAATGAAACATTATCTAATACACAATACATACCATGCACAAAATACAAAGGAGTTTGAATTCTAACAGCTGTTTACTTTGATTTAACAGAAAATGATTGTCTACTGTGTACTTTTCCTTGGAGTAGCGACCATCACCTGGGGTCAAAATGAGATAATTACAGAATGGACTGTAGAACAGTTTCCTAATCCGGAGACGGAGCCAGAAAAATGTGGAGGGATAAGGGGACGTAAATCTTATTTATGTGACCCAAACAGCATACTGACCTCTTCTTGTAAGTAATCATATTTATGTGATGTGATGACCTCTTACATTTTGTACTTTGCATACAGTCTATATGATACCAACCCGATGAACCTTAATAATCTTTTATAAAATCTAATTTTAAAGAGTTGCTTCCCTTGATAAATATATAGACCCATAATCATTTTTCTTGATAAATTATAATAAATCATATGATAAAATGTAGAATTTGTGTTGTTCATTTCAAATCATTAATAATTTTACAAAGATTTGAGTTATAATTCAGCTTTCTTATCTGTCTACTAATACTTTCTTCTTCCTACATCATGTACATGCATGGTGCCCCTCTTCAAATTAATGTAGAATTTATCAGACGTGTTCAATTAATTCAGTGTTATTTTATTTTTAGTTGCTGAGCTGGATCATGCTCTGAACCAGACCTTCATGGACACACAATGTATATGCAGTGCCTATAAATGCCGTGATTTGAATTATCGCCACGGAGTTCACATTTCTGTGGCTGTCCTGGCAAACCTTAAGTTAACCCAAGGGTGAGAATACAGTCCTTTTATTATAGTTATCATTGGGAAACCACAGTATCTTAAATATCACCAGTAAGGTTACATGGATTAACATTATTCTGTAGTGTGGTTATAAATGATAACAATAAACTCTCAGTCTCATTCAAACATCTCAACAGATCTTTGGTCTCTTCAGATACTTGCAACACAAAGTTGTTGAACTAGTTATGAAATGTGGTAAGAATTTTGTTCTTGGGGAATACTTTCTCACTAGGAGCTTGACAGACAATCAGACACTTGACCTGCCTTAATATATATGTTTACATAAAATAATCATAAATTTGTAATTAAAAAACCAAAAACTGTAATTAAGAGTCAATATTCCACAGAGATTTTGGTTCAAAGTTAATGCAAACATTCTCTGTCTCGTGCCAAGATGCACTTCAATTTCCCAAAATTTTGTTATTTTCAAAAACATTGTTTCTGTAGCATTATGTAATACTTAAAAATGTTAACATTTTCAAGTGTCTTTGTCCGAGATAAAACTACAAATAAAGTAATAGCTTTACATCTTCATAAAGTGATTTGCTCAGCACGTGACAGAACTCCATGCTTTCTCGCTGTGTGTTGCTTACTGTACATATGTAGTAATACACTGGGCAGGGCTTGCAGAGATTTCTCATTATTGAGGGAAAATATTATTTTATAGAATTGAGGATCAGGTTAGAATGTTAATATAAGGAAAACTTGTCTGGTTTTTTTTTTTTTTTGGTTTTATGATGATGTTCAATCAGTTTGCTCCAATGAAAATTTTATGTCAAACGGCTTCGCTGTTTATGCAAATTATCACACGAGCAAACTGATTGATCACATCATAAAACCAAAAGAGTAGGCAGTTAATTATTCCCTATATAAAAAATTCATTTTGAAAAATGCACTAGGCGAAAAAGCAAGATATCCTTTTGAGGGCCATAACTTACAGACATAACATTACAGAAAATTCATATTTGATTACCAAGTGGACTTGACCAAAATACATTTTGACAAAGTTGGGTTTGCTTTGTTGTGTGAGGATTGATTTATGTAATTTTTACAGGAGAACATCAGCTTTACCAGAGGTGGAACATTTTGCCCTACAGCTGGAGAGCAGGCATTGGAACTTTGGAGCTTGTGATAATGACGTGGTCATCGTCTACTCAGCCGGGGATAATGTGGTAAGAAGGAGAATGGCAATAAAACAAACTGGTTACTGTATATAGGGTTATTTTCGCCCTGTGTTATTTTTGCCCTTTCACACTTGTAAACAATTTTTCTCCGTTTGAAATTTGCCCAGTCACAGTTAAAGAAATTTTACTGTATTCTTTGAAATTGCCCCATTTTAAATTCGCCCACCTGTGAGTAGGACGAAAGGGGCGAAAATAAAATGGAGGCAAAAATTTCCCTGTATACAGTATGTAACGTATGTAAAATAGAGTAAAACTTCATAAAATGACCCACTAGGGAGAACCCAAATTGTTTTGTGTCTTCTTAAAGTCTTTTTAATCTATACAATTTTATCTTTGCCTCAAGTTTGATGTAAAACAGGAATATGCAGCACAAGTTAACTGCTAATACTCGCCCTTTTCTATAATAAAATTATCATATCCAGTTGATATTTTAATATTTAGAACTGGGAATAATATGTCTTCATTATGAGAAAGTATTTTCTACTTATACTATAACAATGTTTTCATGTTTACAATCTATTTTAAGGATTGAATTATACTTTATTATAGCATCCTTAATTGTAGATATACACTGCCACAGGAAGTGCTGCAAATTACATTTTAGATACACAGAAAATCAAGGACATTACTAGTGCAAATGGAATTTACTTCAGGAACAAGAACCCAATGGCTGGTCTTTATGCCATGATAATGGATTATAGGTTTGTAGTGTAGTAACTTTTTATGCCTCTGAAATCATAGATTGGGGGGGGGGGGGGGGGGCTATAGTTTTTGGTCCGTTCATCTTTCTGTCTGTTAATCTGTCCATTTGTCCACAAAAACTTTTAACCTTGCACATAACTTTTGAATGGTTGGTGCTAGGGCTTTCATATTTCACATGAGTATTCCTTGTGATAAGACCTTTCTTTGGGTACCAACATATTTGACCTCTTGACCTTGGAGTTTGATCTACTTTTGCAAAAATTACCAAACTTTAACCTCGGCCATAACTTTTGAATTGTTGGAACTAGGGCTTTTATATTTCACATGTATATTCAATGTGTCAAGGCCTTTCTTTGGGTACCAACATTTTTTTTACCTTTCGACCTTGACTTTTGAGTACCTACTTTTGAAAAACTTTAACCTTGGCCATAACATTTGAATGGTGGGTGCTAGGAATTTTATATATCATGTGTATTTCTTGTGACAAGACCTTTCTTTGGGTACCAACAATTTTTACCTCATGTATTTGACCCTGGAGTTTGACCTATATTTGAAAAAAACTAACCTTGCCTATAAATTTTAAATGGTTGCTGCTAAGGCTGCATATTTCACTTATGCATTCCTTGTGTCAAGAACTTTTCTTTGTTACCATTATTTTTTGTCCTCATGACATTGACCTTGGAGATGCCTTGTTTATGCCATGGTGTCATGGTATCATAGTTTTAAAGATATGCCTAAATTTGTTGAAAATAGCTCCTTTTGCAGGTCAAGTGAAAAACTTTATTCCAAATACATGATAATTATCTTGAAATATAAGCAATCTTTAGGCACAGGTCGAAATATATTATTACTTGGTTGAAAGAGAGAAGAGTAAATCTTTAGAAACTGTACCTTCTTTTTCAGGAATGTATTTCGGGGAGGATACCAACCATATGCATTGTATCAAGAAAGTCAGAATGTCAGAGGATTAGCGTCCATGGTTACAGCATCAACATCCTGTTTGTTGGTTGCCATAGTTACATATTTATACAACAAACTTTGATTATTCACAGTCTATAGAGGGGAAAAAAATCAGTTCCAAAATGAATCTTGATTACTTAAAAGAACAAAGTTTGTAAAGGGCCTTTATGACTTCCTTTTAATGAATGAGTCTTAATCAAACACCTGTGATAATGCCCATTTCAAAATCTAAATTTCTTTTAATGAATAGCCTACTCCTTTAGGGAACTTGAAAGTACAAATTTGAACAATTTCAGATCTGATTTTCCAAAATATTACATGTTTCTAGAATTCAGAGCTACGTTTAGCTACAGAAAACAAAACACAAGCCAGTCTATTGGCAGTATTTCTATATTTTTTGACATATACATCTTGAGTATCATTATCAAAGATGAGCTTCCTTGACAAAAAGGAGGAGTGAATTCTGATAAAATTCATTACAAAAAAATGAAGAATTTTGGGGGAAAAGCTTTACCGTACTCTGTCACTTTGTTGGACTTCCATTAGCTGTAAATTAAACGTTGGTTTTGATCCAGGCATCGACATTTTAGGTTTCCATCGATCCAGGCATCATTTTAGGTTTCCAATTTCAAATTGTGCTTTCATTACATTTGAGAAGGTCGATTTTAGTCCTTATCATTCTTCCTCATGCACCAGTGTGGTGGAAATCTAAACTTCTGATTTTAAAGACTTATAATGCTTCATTTTTACCATTGAAAATGATAGCCTTGGTTGATCTTTACTAACATTACAGTTTCTGTTCTTATTTAAGCTACCGTATATACTCGCCTATATTAGTCGGTTCGCATATAAGTCGGTTGTATCTTTTAAGCTTAAATTATAGGGATTGAACCGCTTAAATACTATACTTTTAATAACTCGCGTATAAGTCAGATAAAGAGTTTTGGACTAAAGTTTAACTCTCAAAAAACCGACTTATAGGCGAGTATATATGGTACTTCATTTAAAAAAAAAAGTTTTGTTTTGAACAAGGAGTTTATGTGACAAGATCTGCTTTTTTACTACATGTACTAAAATATCCTTTTTATGACATTTAATTTTTTTTCTTTTTTTTTTGCCATCTGTACAAAACAATTTTATATACATGTAGTCCTTTTATTCTACTTGAATGTATCTATTAGCTGTTTTTATATCCTCCAAGTCTTAATCAAATTTACAAGGCATATAATAGCATGTGAAAGTTTCAGGTCAGTAATTTTTTTATGCTTAATCCATAGGAGGATTTTTATTTGTGAATCTAGTATGCTTTTGGATACATGTATATTGAGTCTCTTGTTTCTTTATGTGAGTGAAAGCTGAACTGTAAATCAACTCTCCAATATGACTTCTATGACAATTTGTGATTTATGAAACTTTTTCTTTTGAGGTTCAAATATGAATAATTTGTTGCCTGCAATAAACCTTTGTGATTTTACAGTCCTCTTGAAATGCATGCAGATTATTTACAGCCAGAGGAAGTTGGTTTACAGTTAGAGTGAGGGTCAGTGAGAATGGGTTATTTATTTGTATCGTATTTTAATGTGTATTTACGATGATCAAATGGTGCTTTCTAATGTTATGAATTGTGTGTTTTGTAAATTTATACAGGGTTAGTGTATAAAAAATATACATGTATTGTGATTGTTTTGTTATGGAATATTACTGTTTTTAAAATGTTTCTTTAATGAAAAGTACTATTTTACATTGTTTTGAATGCCAAAAACGGACAGCAATGCCAGAAAAGTGTTGTTTACATCAATGTACAATGATTTTCTTCTTTTTCAGTTTATTTCTAATGTTACAAGTGTGTAGTTCAAATAGATTATCAAGGTTATGAGCATGATTATAATTATTATATTTTGTTTTGACTATCGGAAAATGATGGACTTCTGTATTGTTATCTAGATTTTGAGAATATTACAGTAAATAGATTGTCAGTTGGGATATCTTCTCCTATGGTTGTAATACGGTGTATTACTAAATGTGTTTTTGTAGCTGTATAAATATTAAACCTACTGGTAGCTAACAATAATTAAGTTCGTGTGTGTGTGTGTTTATGTTTTTGACATTGATTTTTGACCAGTTACAGAAAATTTTCTTAGGATGTGATGTATTTTTAATAATAGACGGTTTGAAAAGTCAGTAAACACCATTTATAATATATATGTGCTTCCTGTAAATATATTTTATCAAACATTTTTTACCTGTCCAGAAATACTCAACATAAGGGTACATGTATGTATATGTTTTTCCTCAATACATGTATTTTTCCTTTTTGGATAGTAATTTTAGAATGTTAGTATATTTTTCTAGAAAACTAATTTTTCTCTTTGTTTTTTAGCTCTACTGGTCAGAGACCAGAAGAGCTTATGCGATAGTAAGGCGTCCGTCGTCCGTCCGTCTGTCTGTCTGTCTGTCCGTCTGTCTGTAAACAATTTTTCAAAACGCTACTCCTCCTACAGTTTTGGTCCGATTTCAATATAACTTGGCACACAAGTAGACTATACTAAGATACATAATTTAGTGCATCGGTTTTTGATTTCGATGGACGGTGTTGCCATGGTTACTAAAAATAGAAATTTCTGTGAAATTCCTTTAAAACGCTACTCCTCCTACAGTTTTGGTCCGATTTCAATATAACTTGGCACACAAGTAGACTACACTAAGATACATAATTTAGTGCATCGTTTTTTGATTTTGATGGACGGTGTTGCCATGGTTACTAAAAATAGAAATTTCTGTGAAATTCCTTTAAAACGCTACTCCTCCTACAGTTTTGGTCCGATTTCAATATAACTTGGCACACGAGTAGACTACACTAAGATGCATAATTTAGTGCATCGGTTTTTGATTTCGATGGATGGTGTTGCCATGGTTACTAAAAATAGAAATTTCTGTGAAATTCCTTTAAAACGCTACTCCTCCTACAGTTTTGGTCCGATTTCAATATAACTTGGCACACAAGTAGACTTCATTATGATACATAATTTAGTGCATCGGTTTTTGATTTCGATGGATGGTGTTGCCATGGTTACTAAAAATAGAAATTTCTGTGAAATTCCTTTAAAACGCTACTTCTTCTACAGTTTTGGTCCGATTTCAATACAACTTGGCTTACAAGTAGACAACACTAAGATACATAATTTAGTGCATCGGTTTTTGATTTTGATGGATGGTGTTGCCATGGTTACTAAAAATAGAAATTTCTGTGAAATTCCTTTAAAACACTACTCCTCCTACAGTTTTGGTCCGATTTCAATATAACTTGGCACACAAGTAGACTACACTAAGATACATAATTTAGTGCATCGGTTTTTGATTTCGATGGACGGTGTTGCCATGGTTACTAAAAATAGAAATTTCTGTGAAATTCCTTTAAAACGCTACTTCTTCTACAGTTTTGGTCCGATTTCAATACAACTTGGCTTACAAGTAGACAACACTAAGATACATAATTTAGTGCATCGGTTTTTGATTTTGATGGATGGTGTTGCCATGGTTACTAAAAATAGAAATTTCTGTGAAATTCCTTTAAAACACTACTCCTCCTACAGTTTTGGTCCGATTTCAGTATAACTTGGCACACAAGTAGACTACACTAAGATACATAATTTTTTGCATCGGTTTTTGAATTCAATGGACAGTGTTGCCATGGTTACTAAAAATAGGAATTTCTGTGAAATTCCTTTAAAAGACTACTCCTGCTACAGTTTTAGTCTACTTCTAATATAATTAGGCATACAAGAAGACTATACTAAGATACATAATTTATTGCATTGGTTTTTGAATTCGATGAAGAGTGTTGCCATGGTTACTTAAAATAGAAATTTTTGTGAAATTCCCATTAAACGTTACTCCTCCTACAATTTTGGTCTGATTTCAATCTAATTTGGCACACAGTTAGAATACACTACGATACATAATATGTATTTCTGTTTTTTTTATTTGAGTGAATGGTCATGGTTACTAAAAATAGAAATTTCCGTGAAATACTTTCAAAACGCTACTCCTCCTACAGTTTTCATTTGATTTCAATATAACTTGGCACAGAAGTAGACTACATTAAGATACATAATTCTAATTATTGTTGCATGTTGCAATGTTTCAAATCCAAGTGCTACTTTTCTTTTGTTATACAAACAGACCAGTAGAGCTACAGTCTCATCAGAGACTTCTGGTTTAAAGTTTTGGATTGTCATCCAAAACTGTATTTTTGAAAACTGTCTGATTTTTAGGAAAAAATATTCTGTAAATGTACACATAAAAAAATAGAATTTGATATAATTAGAGCAATTATATGAGTTTCCACCAATTTCATATATTTTGCCCTTTTTTTCTTGCCATCCCAGTGAAAATTTGAGACATTAAATTTTATTATTACAGGAGTCTGATTCCATCAGACATGATATGTTATTCAATATTCACAGCAAGTTTGTTGTAATGAATTGAGAACTGATGCCTCTAGTGTGTACTTTTGGTGTGAGGTACAATACTTCTTCTACAATACCCTTATGTTTGAATTACATGGAAAAATAATTAAAAAGATTCTGTGTTTTGATAACTTCACATTTATAAGAGTATTAAATTATTTTTTCACACAAAGTAGGACTGTTTATGCTTTAATCATATCTTGAATGTGTATGTAGTCATTCGTCTATATGAAATAAAATATTTTGTATAAAATGTTGTCATTTGATACATTGCAGTATGTTTTTTTAAGTTTTATATGAGGGCTGAATGGACTGATCCGAAAGTATTGTCACTTAGTGCTATAAAATCTGTAACAATGGGAAGCCCTCTACAACACTGATAGTCATACCTCTATTATGATTGTTTCCTGAATACATAAAATACTTATTAAAGAAATATGAAAATAATCATAAAATGATTCCTGTGGAATCTCTCATATTTTTATTTCCATTCCTGAGTATACAGGCCCGTAGCAACGGTTTCAAAGAGGGGGGGGGGGGGGGCAACCTCCCAAAATATGTATTTCAACATGAAGTTGTTGACTTCCCATTTTAAAAGATTTCAGAGCACCTGTGACATTACTTTTCGATCATACCCCCCCCCCCCCTTCTCCTCTAGCTTCTGGCAACAACCAGCCTTGAATAGTGTTAAGACACAGAGCAGATCGGTATTCCTTCACCAGTACAGAGTACAAAGAAGATGTACTTGCACAGTGAATGACTGGCTAGTTGTTCAAGCATGGTTTGTGACACGATATTAATGCCACAGTTGATACTTAATTAAACATTTTGTTACTAACTTATATTTGATTAGCGCGCATTGCTAATCGTGTGAATGTTTTGTCACGTGATGTTTCTATTTTTAGCTTACAAACGAGTAGGACCAGTGGACCAATGACAGACTACTATTCGATAATTAATATGCATGTATACTAACTTCGTGCACTACATAAGCACTTATCCCGCCAAACCATATATCTATTAGCTTCTAGCTTTAGATGTAAGAGATCCAACGCTACATATTTCAAGTCATCGAGTTCCACGATGCTTTGATAATTGTCTTCATCTTATTTATATAGTACTGGATACTTGGTAAGATTTATATCTAATGTAGGTACTTTTTAAATGAATTTCAATAATTAATACGTAAAATATCTTTATTGGCAGCGATGTGAATTTTCATGTTGTATAATTTGTAACTTTGTTTAATGTGCCATATTTGTCTCTTGTTAATGTGTGTGTTGTAAGTGTGTTTTCTATGTTTTCTAGGTTTCTTTTAGTATCCCAAGGCCGTAACTACCATTGAGGCAAGTGAGGCGTGAGGCAAATTAATGCCTCACTAAAATTTTAGAGTTTTCTGAAAAGTGAAAAAGTTTTACTGTGAATTTTGATTAATTATGTGTGTCTTTGTACTACATTAATACTTTTACTTGTGTTTCAATATCTGTATGTCGATCATTTCACCAGGTGCTTCATGATCGTTTAGAATGCATGTAAAAACAATTCAAAACGTGAAAACTTTCAAAGATTAAGTCTTTAATTTATTAAACCCAGTGTAAGTCTTTAATTTATTAAACCCAGTTTTCGGGACCCCCCCCCCCCCCTTAAGAACCCCCATCAAGACACTACCGTGGATCCGCTTGGAACTCAGGTGGCCCCCAGATCCCTTGCCTCACTAAAAATTTGAGCCTAGTTACGGCCTTGTATCCTCATATTAAAATTCCACCAAAACTGAATCCAGTGTTATTTTCTTAACGAGACCCTGTGACACTAACATTTTATCAAATATGATTCAACTAATCAGAGTACATTTAAAAAAAAAAAAATTGAATGAACATTTGTAAAATTTCTTAATTTTATTTAACGTATATGATTAGTTTTAGTACACAGCTAGTATTTGACTTGACTGGAAGAGTAAACTACTGTTGTAATTACGATAGCAATAGCAGAACTATACTTTAACCTAGAACTTCGCAGATGTTGCAAAAAATGATTAGCCACATTCTAGCCCAAAGGATGCCTCTCAACAATTTTGCTAACTATAGTACATACTAATACAATAGAAAACATAGCTATTCTACAAGTTTTTTTCTTGCCAAGATTTCTTGTTACAGGCTGTGCCTTCCCAAACTGAAATTGCTTCCCGAGATCGCCCCCTTCCCACATGTTCACAGTTTTTGATTCTCGAATGATTATCCTAGCGCTGATAGTTAAGGGCACATTATTTAATTAAGGGTACATTTCGTCTTATCGTCATCAATGTTGTGTGTTATTTAAGACATTTTTTTTATTTTCACAAAACATTGCCATTTTGTATTTTAAGTATAATTTTTTTCAACTGTGCTCTTTTTGTTCAGACAGTCCTTAATTTGTTTAATTGTTCCATGCTTCCACATCAATAGGACAGACAAGATGTACGTTGGCTGGAATGACGGACTGCCTCCAAGAGGGTTCCCTGGAAACGGTATATATTCTTATTGCAAAAAAATCTATGTTGGTTCCTCAGATTTGACTTCTGTGTTATCCACATCCAAACGTATGTGACGACAAAGGTTTGGGTTCTTTGGTACGAATACTGTTTCACGAGGGGTTACTAATGAGTCAATGTCGTTCTTATGGACAAACTGTCGTTGTTCTTTAACAAAGTCAGTTATATCGTAAATATTACAGATCCATTGCTCGTTGAACTTTTCCAGAATTTCCCCTTTAAGCCCGAGTTGTATCGCCCGTCTGGTGCATTTATTGCCGTTTGGTTTGTGGTCTGGATCCCATTGCAATCGAACACCCCCATCTCCAAAACCTGTCATGTATACAAAAGGCAGTCTGTTAATTTAAAACATTATCAAAACAAACTTCATACCTAAACCTAAAACACACTGCCTGTTTTAAAAGACTTCTCTGATCTGAGTAATAATACATGTAGTACATACCATCTTGTGGACCTTTAGGGCCGTACGCATCCTTACTGGTATCTTGCGAGACGCGTAAAATTTCCAAGAAACCATCAATAGTCAATCGAATAGCAAGGATTCGCTCCTGATTATATTTCTCGGCCCATCCAGACCTATACATCATCCACAGAAAGTTTGTTTTAATCCAACTCATTCTGTTAAAGTTGTATAGAGGTCCACCGAATTTTCCGTTTTTATCCGCATATTCTGCAATTTCTTTCCGGAATGCCTGGTAAACTAAGATCGTTTTGTCGTTGTTTTGAGCGAGAATGTGTCTTCCTTCACTGGGCCATCGCTTTAATTGTTCCACATATTTTTCTGTTTCTAGCCCAGACGTACTTTTGGAATAGCTTGATGCCATTTTGAACCATAGATCACTATGAATATGATAGTTAATAACAGGACCCTTTCCTACACTTGCGATCTGCCATATTTCTCGAAGTTGTGAAATAACCATGTATCCGATTATTATGAAATATTTTATTGAAAACTAAGAGAGGGTGAAATTTAAAGAGATAAAAAGCAAGCAAACATATACACACCGCCTTAGAATACGCAATTTAACTTCTTGATCTGTATACGTTCTTACGTACGGTTTACTGTAACAGTCATAAATTTAGAATATTGGACCAACTTTAAAATGATGTTTGTTTGCCCTCTCCCGACTTTGGGTCGGTAGATAGGTGGGGGAAAAGGTCATGGAAAAATTTCAAATTATTGCTGAATTTTCAAAATCTTTTTTTCCAGAATGCATAATTAAAAAAGATAATTGTTTTCTTGACTGAGGTTAAAAAAAAGATTTGAGCAGGGCCATTTTGATTTCAAAATAGTTTTAGTATGTAGGCCCCTATAGTGCGTTTCAAAATGATTTATTTATGTATGTTAAAGACAGTACGTTTTCAAATTGTGACGTCAGATTTAACGTCACTTGAGAATTCTGCACTTTGATCCGAAGAGTAAGGTAAGAAGAAATCTAATGCCCAAGTAAAGTGTTATTTTCCTTATGTTTATCTATATTTCGTGCAGTGAATTATTGGCAAAAGTAATATAGAAGATTGCAAAACTTAAAACATCTTGTCAGAAATAAGTAAGTTAAGCCAAATAAATATAGATGAGTGATCATGAAGCTGAACTCTTTACAAAAAGATGAAGCACGTTAGTGTTTCATAAAAAAAAAAATATGCAGGCGTGAAGCGTTGTAGCTCATGTACATGTACCTCATAAATTATAAAAAAAAAATTCAATTCATTTCTTATATTATATTTATTTGATGATTTTACACAATATATATGTCATTCAACTGTCATTTCTGAAAAGAAACAAATTGCACTAGGCCTATATGATGAAGCATTTCATGTTCACCCCTTTTTCAGTGTTTGTTCATGAGAAAATGAACTGTGTTCCTATTTGTAAAGAATCTTAAGGATGACATTTACACACAAGGCGAAAAGAATTCCAATGATGGTAATGAAAAACAATATATTGACAAGTACATTGTACATAGACCTATGATTAATTGATTATGGTGTTATTTTCAACTTTCAGATATGTAGGTCAATGACCACTTTTCAAGCTAAAATAAAGGCTTTTGAGTAGTTCGCGAAAAAAAAACATAAGCATGCTTAAAATTTTGCACTACCATAAAGACTTTCATTCTCAGAAAAAAAAGCGAGCAATGGAGTTTTGGCAAAAAACTCACTACTCCATGATGGCACCTGATCCCACCTCTGAGATCCGTGTTTGCTCTGCTCCAAATTTGTATTTTTTTTCTTGTTGTAATGGTTTGGGCCGAAGAAATCGGTCAGGGTAGCTCAGTCGGTAGAGCACCTGACTAGTGATGCAGGGGTCCCAAGTTCGATTTCCAGCCCAGCAATATATTTTCTAGATGTCCTTTCCTGTTCCATTTTCAATGGCCTTTTGAGCTTGATTGTTCTTCATTTTCTTCCTATTTCACCTAGGAAAGGAAAGAAAATCTCGTATTTCTTTTAAAATCGATGAAGTAACAAACGTACATTACATGTAACTATACGTTTTTTTGTTAACCACGGGCATGCAGTTCTGTCAGGTAGCATTCTTTTCAAAGACCAAATTCACAGTTTTCATAGAAACTCTGTAATGAAATTAAGGTCTTAAGTTTACTATGTACATGTATACCTACATCCCCAACCCTTAATACTGGTGGAGTAAATTGAGTTGTCCATACTCCAAATATCTGAATGAGATATATCGCTTTTTAAAATCTGTTACATGCCAGTGATTTGAATTTTAAAATTTAAAGTCCCATAGTTTGGGCGTTTATTAAAAACTTTAAAAGTAAAGGTTTGTTTGTTGTTGTCATTTGATAGACAAAAGAGAATGTCAACGACAATGATTCTTAGCTCATTCTACATAAAAAACAGAAAGACATTCGTATTGATGATAAATACCAGAAAGTAAGATGATGTTTAGTAAGAAAAGAAATCTGATTTTTTATGTCCAAGGATATTCTAACACGGGATGGGGAACACAAATAAAAAGGAATCTGAAGACAGCTATGGTGGGATGGAAGATCTGTCATATAGCCGTAGTAACAGCTTAATCAGCACGCGCTCCCAAAACCCGGAAGTCAACAGTCACGTGCTTCCACCACTGGCATTTCAGGTATACTATAATTTTATTGCCTTGTGAAACATTGCTTTGTTTATAAAAACATTGCATAAATACAGAACTTTTAAGCTGATGCAACCTTGAAAAGATCATTCCTATATTGCCACCTAAAAAATTGTCCTGATAAACTCTGTTGTAACAATCTATAAATGGCATCACAAAACAAAACGGAGCAGATTTTGATTCAGAGAAGACAACTTTTCATACAATGAATTGATACTGTGTACACAAGGTAATAAATACAAAATTACTGTCGATCAGTATCACAATTACTCTTTGACCTTGCCTTTTGAGCTTCTGACTCTCCACTAGAGCTCAATAAGTCCCCTGTAGTACATGTCACAGGCACCTGACGTTACTTATATTTTTCTTTTAATAAAAAAAAAATAAGCAACGTGAGGTGCCTGTAATGTATATACATAATTAATTGCAAATTTCAGACTTTCAGGCATAAGGCACTTAATTACATTAAAAAAAAACCTCTGATAAATCGGTGCTTAGGACACACATGAACTAATTTTACGTTCAAATGCATATGCTCACCACTTCTATACCGACAGATTGAATTAAAAATTGCACTTTAAAGATATTCATTATTGTCCACTTCACTGCTAGGGATAATACCTTTGACCTCGACCTTGGACTTGAACTCACCTCTATAGCAAGCATGAAACTTAAAGGTCAAATGGTGCTCCAGATATTGTGTCTGGAACGTTGTTAGAAACTAAAGAACGCAAGCACATTCCCATACTTTGTTGCAAGTAGAAAACTTGATACGTCAAGTAATTTTTTTTAATTGGAAGGAATCAGTCCACTCAAAGCAGTTCAGGCTAAAAAAAAAAATGCTGGATAATTTAAAAAAAAGAATTATTTCCATTTTCCTGAATTCGTGCAGAGAGTCCGGCGATGTTTACTACGTATTCCATTAGAGGAGGGACAGGAAATAAAGGAAGAGGCGATAGAGAGACTCACCAAACATGTTGTCATGGAAACTTACGATCCGGGCAAAGACGTTATTCTAAAAGGTCAGCTACTTGTGTGAGTGCTTTTCAGTGACACGTGATCATCATCGACTTGCTTTGAATAGCTCCTTTCGTCTTTTTGCTTGTAGGAGATTCCACGAAGGGGATCTTTGTTATAATAGAAGGAAGTTTGAGCGTTCGGTCTGAGGATGGGGGCGAAGTTTTCTCCAACCTCAGTGAAGGCGACTTTTTTGGAGAAATCTCGTTGATATTTGACATCCCGTGTACAGCGAGAGTTCAAACAGATACAAGGTCAGATTTCACTAAGATGCACAGATTTGAAAGAGGTCAGTACGTGATATCATTTGGTTTAACAAAATAAGCATACTTCACCAATTTAATATATATGGGGTACGTGTTCCGTTATTATGAACATAGTGTATTAAATCAGTGTATTTTCAATTTGGTCATGTGTATTGTCCAGAAAGAACAATATTCACCTCGACCTTAGGCTTGGTGAAAATTATCATCCTCGTGTATTAACCTCTTTAACAGCTGTTTAAACCAAAAAAACCCACCTCGATCATGTATGTTAGGTACTAAGTAATTGATATATTGTTGGCTTTTGATAATTCTCTTTTGATCATTATCCAATATATTGAAGTCTCACTTAATTTCCTCCGATACAGCTGTATTTTAGCTCACCTGGAACCACATTCCGCCAGGAGATTGTTCCACAAAGTTAGTGTCGATATCATCGATTGGTTTGTTACACGTAGATATTTACCAACAAGCAGTGATATCGACGTCGATCGCTGTTTTCGACGTATGTCGTATACATACCTCAAAGCAGTAAGTACATATATATAAACTATAAAAATACATTAATCGGTAATATTTTTGAAATTTTCTGGTGCAAATGGTCTTCAAGTATTAACGATGTTTCTACTGGTTTAGTGTCCTGTATTTAAAAAATGGGGAGAGGATTCGTTAAAAACCCTCATCTTGGATCTGGACCCGGCCATGGTGGTATTGTATCAACCACACACAAGTGTCATCTGTATCAATGACCCTCCCATAGCCCTCGACATCATTATCCGTGGAAGGTATTTTTTTCTCAAAATCAAAACTTCTATGTACCGTCTTGATTGTAATTGAAATTTCGATCTGTCAAGAACCTGGCGTACATGTAATATACCCCTATCAATAAAACAGGGCTGTCGTCCAAGACGATCAATCAAAAACGTTGGTAACCATTGATGTTGGTAACCAAGGGGATGACCCTGTTGTCATTGGAGAGGAAGGTTGGTATAATAAGCCATTTGAAGCGATAAAAAGAATGTTGGTCAATCAATATTTGATAGAAATAAACCTTTGTAGTTTGATTATTAAATGTATCTACTAAGTAAAGTTTGTAACGCGTGTTTTTCATATAAAGTGTCGGGCTATTATTCTGATACACTTGTTAAATCTACTTCTCTTAATTATACATCATACTCAGTTTGACTGCAGGTTGCTTGTAGCTATTAATTTTTCCTTTGTTTGTATACATTTGAGAAGTGTTGGTGGAATGGCCATTTTTAGACTAATTAAACCTTCTGGAAAAGGAGAGCTCTGTATGAAAATATGGGAAGTTGCAGTAAATATTATCATGGACGTCCCTGATATTATAAATATAGCTGTAACATTTTTTTTTTTTTTACTTACCGGTAATAAAAGTTTATGGGTAGAAAAACCCTATTTTACATTTTTAGGTGGATCTGTTGGGTAATTATTTGACCCCCAGCCTCCTGTGATTTTTATACTATGTCTGTGCTCCGTTTGTGTGCAGAATGTATAAAGATTGTATACATTTATTTAGCTTTATAAGTTTATATATTCATTTCCTCGTAAGGAATGTATCTAGAACACCACAACAGGATCTCTATAACGACCACCACATGTTGTGAAATCATACATATCAAAGAGGAATGGATACAGAACACGCTGGATAAGGTACAATTATCGTCTGTCTCCTTATGATATCTGCTTCTGGAAATATTGATGTTTACATTCACAACATGTCTTTTTTCATGTTAAGAAATCATAAATATATACAGATATACAAGTGAACATACTTGAAGAGTTTAATATTGTATGAAAGATTTTGCATATTGTGAAACTTCCTGCAGAGATATTCTCTGTATAAATCGATCCTTAATTCTTGATCGAGCATACCCCTCCCCCCCCCCCCCCAAAAAAAAAAAAAATTATACTATTAATTGATCATTATTTTTTAAAGAATAATGGGCTTTATTTGAATCTTATTTACACACTAAGTTATTCAAGCAACATGCTATAAACTATAACCAGCTACTTACAGTCTATCAAAATTATGGTACCGTTAAAAGCATGTATATCTAAACTAAATTTTCAGTTTTACAAGAGCACGCAAACACATTACAGTCGTAGATGTGTTTAATTGCAGTGTTTAGAACTAGATGCTTATGGGCGGCGGAAAGGGTAAAAAAGACGTTAATGCAAAACTAACAACTAATTTTAAAAACATAGATGCTGTCATAAAACAGTAAATAAATACTAGTACCCGCACGTAAATGTTTGCCAGTTCCTTTGTACATGGGAAACGAAGAGACCACAGAAGTTATTCAATATAAGTTACATAAAATATATGCATGTTTCAAAATTGAGCATCAAACACGTGAGTTATGATCATTGGCCTCTCATATTTGTATTTCACATGATAGATTTATTACCGGTCTGAAATTAAAAATTGCAATGAATGAAACGTCGATTTTCGACCCGCATATGGCCTCCTAGCTGAAAAGAAAACTTCCGACACGTTATTGCATATCTACAGGACACCACCAATTATCTGACTTTCTTTAGATTGACTGATTGATTGATTGTATGTTGTTTTACGTCCCGTTCGAGAATTTTTCACTCATATAGAGACGTCACCGTTGAGGGGCTTCAAATTTAGACCTAAATACTCGGCACTCAGAGCCATTGAGCAACGAATGGGTTCTTTATCGTGCCAACACCGACCATGACACGGGGCCTTGGTTTTCAAGGTTTCATCCAAAGGACAACTCTCACTTCAGGGTGCAGAGCATTTGGCGAAGGAACAGTTGCTACCTATTTTTTACCGACTCAGGTCAGTCGCGGCCGTGATTCGAACACACGACCATCGACCTTCCGATCAGGGAGACTTTCTTTAGAAAGTTTGGATATAAAAAATCATCGATACCTTTTTAAATTATCTGCACTAAAATATAAGATGCGTTATATTGTTTGAAACTTTCAAAAAAGGGACCCCCCTCCTGGCAGTCCGTAATCAGATTTGATTCACCAATCACTAATTTGCTTACCTAAAACAGTATCCACAGGATGCAGGGAGTTTCTGGAAACAAAGAAAAACAAAATGGAGGGCACTATTAAACAAGAAGGAAGAAATTTATCAACAATATCCATCTCTTCTTCAATTTGAGGTAATTTTACCTTAATTATTCACAGGGCATCCTTATTTCGAACTCTCTTTTTCTACCTTTAAAGTATAATATGGTTTTATACTTATACAGGTAATCTACCAACTGCTGAAAAACAGCAGTGTTCTCTCCAAGTGTTCAACAGACTGTGTTCAAAACCTAGCCCTGTATGGAATCCCTGAACAGTACGAGGTGAATGACTACGTATGTATTCAGGAGGAGATAGGTGAGATTTTGAGGCAGAAAGGTAACTCTTCTTATAGCACTGTTAACATATTTTAGTATATTATACTTTCATGTAAATTAGTTGAATCTGATTCGTCGAGAAACATTTGTTAAAAAACACTATTGCCCGCTGAATGATGAAGCCATGCCCTCCAGCATAGCAACAGTCAACATTGATTGACGACGGGTGATATTCCAAAAAAATAGCGACTGCGCAGAATTTATGCCCGCAAGGTTCACTGTTATATATATATATATATATATATATATATATATATATATATATATATATATATATATATATATATATATATATATATATATATATATATATATATTTGTATAAAACATTCAGTATGATATAATGATATAATACATATATTGCATGTAGTTGAATGTAACATTGAAAATTTTCACCCCTCGGTTGACAATGGTTTTATTGGGGTGAAAATTTTCAATGTTACATTCAACTACATGCAATATTTATATAATATATGAGTCTACCTTTACTAGGCTATGTTTAATATACATATAGAAGATGGTAGTCTAGTCTTAGTGTTGGTTGGGGAGTTAGAACTGGTCACTGATCCTGATACCAGATATGCTTACACCGTCAACGAGGGGGAAATTTTCTGTAAGTTTCATTTTATTACTGCTCATAAAATTAAAAATATTATTTTTCATTGATTCAGTAAATGTTATTCTTTCATGTTACAGGTCCAAATGAGTGGATGAAGCCCCGTGTAAAGCTGGTGGCCAAATCTGAGAGTCTGGCCTTTAAAATTGACAGTAGTGTAGTGAAAGAGGCGTTAAAGAAGAATCCAAGTTGTGAATTAGTATACCCTGTTCAACCATTATAAACACAGCCACTTCTTCATTTATTGTTTCGTTTCTTATGTGATCAGTTAAGCTTACTTGTGATTTAAAAAGCAATCCATGGGATGACGTACTAAAAGCATGTTTTATTAACAGCGATTCCATGAATCAAATTAAGTCAACAAATAAAAAGACAAATAACAAAATTATCAAATGCACACATGTAGCACCACGTGACTAGTTTTCAAAAGATCACGGTGTGTCGTCTGTTGTTCATAGACATTGATGTATGAACGAAGCGCCTCTTCTTGAGTGTTACATTTTCCATGATTTCTGGGAGCTCTTTGATATCGGGTATGGCAGTCAGGCAGGCATCACGGCCTCGGAAGCCTCGAAATCGCCGGGGTTTGGCGGTTTCTTGTTTGATATCAGGAAGACTGAGATACAGATGTTTGGACTTGTTCGTGTCTCTCTGTATAATACCATACTCCGTTCCTTTGTTTAGACTTGTATCGGACGTACTCTTGGCTTTGATTAGACCCTCTACAACAGAATTAGAACGTGCAAGTCTTGGTTTTTCCGGAATTGGTGGAAATGATTGCGAGAGTCCAATTTCTCTCAATATTTCCATCGGTTTCTCAATTTCTCCCAATTTAACACGTTTCTTTTCAAAGTTGGTGACATCAAAATCGAATTTAGTCAAATTCTTGTGTTCTGTCTTTCCCTTGCTCTTCTCAGACCGAGTAAATTCAGCATATTCCTTGAGCCGCTCTATCCGTTTTTTATCGTCTGTTTCATGTGGAAGAATCTGGTCTTTGAGGTATTCCACAGTCTTCTTATCTTCCTGAAGCTGAGTATACTCACGAGTTATCTCTAACCTCTGCTTTGTCAGTACACGAAGTTCATGATGCCAAAGGGAATCAATATGGCGAAGCTCGCGGTCCAAGAGTCGTTGCTCGCGCACATTCTTTAGGGATGCGTTCATTTTTTGAAGTTCCTTGTTTAATCAAAGCAGATTTTATTTTCTTTCTCATCTGTTCAGTCTTGTACAAGATTCTGGAAAAGTATTACGTTCATGTATCAATTACTTAAAAATACCTTATATAAAGTTGTTGCATGGTCGATAGAATTTCACGACATTCTGCCAAAATTATAAATACAGTATACCGGTACATTGTATATGTAGGATACGATAATGTCTTTAACGACTCGGATTTACAACAATACCCAAAAGTTTAAATACTTACACCCTACTTACAAGTAAACGTCTATCAATTAAACACTTCTCGCTATAAAAGTACAAGGATATTCCTGACATCATGATCATTTTAATTAATAAAAATGATGCCTTCGAACAAAGAAAAAGCATTTCGCTATTAGACTGGATGGAATAAGAAATAAATAAACCTTTTTAAAGACAATAGCCTCATCAAATCATCAATACCCAAAGAATTAGACTTCAACATTCATAAAGTATAATCTTTGATTTTTTTTCTGTGTAAAACTTAAAAGAAAAGATTTTTTTTTTGAAGAGAACTGGACGAACAGTGTTTCTCGTTTAAACATCTTCATTAGTCGAAAGAGGAAACCATTGACTTTAGAAGACACGATAAGCAACATATAAATATTAGTGATATGGTCTGTAATTCTGCGTACTCTTATTTTTAAAGGTGTGATTTAATGAAAAATACGTAGTTCGGGAGTGTTAAAATATTAGTTTCTCAAAGAAAATTACCCCAAATTTCGACGTGTATATCGATAAAAAGTGCATTGAACGAGCAAATTTCACAAATATGTATTATTCAAAGATCTCGAATGCCCGTTTTGGGGGGAAAAAACTTGGTGGGCGACTGAGTCTTTGTATTGCGTGAAACATGTTTTTATTCCTATTCATCCCTGAGTAAAGATATTAGAAAGATGTTTTCCTCATTTTATGCATATATTGTGCTCAAGTTCAGTGTAATTAGGCTAAAGTTGTTTGTGTTGCCACACTGTATTATAAATAACTGCATGAGGTCGTATTTCTTCAAATTTATTTAAGGATTGTAACAGCCTTGACTATCATGCAAAAAATACATTTGAATAGAAAGTATTCTTTCTTTATCGAATTATATACAAAGTTCAATATCAGTTAATGTTTTTTCCTAGAAATTGCAAAACGCCACGTAATCACGAAAATATCGAAACAAAAATATGCAAGATACTAGTAGCAAACAGTTCGCACTTGAAAACCTTTCCATTTCAAGGATCCACCCTACTAAGATCCACCATGTGAACTATAGAATCACATTAGGGGTGTATGATTTTCTCTTCAAAAATATTATTCATCAAGCAACACCTGAAATAACTTATTCAACCATCCACTACTGTTAAGTCCATTACACATTGTCACATAAAACGTTAAATCCCCCCAATTTTTACGAAGTGTTGGTTACTTCGAAGAAACCATGAAAGTCGGCAGACGGTTGGATTATAAACTGAGGTTAGAAAGATGAACAAATCATTTAACGAACAGGAGGGCATAAAACCGATATAAAACATACCTTACTGATGCATCGTACGCAATCTTTGAAAAAATTACTTCCAAAATGCAATGCTTTGATGTGCAATGCAGCACATATGTTAAACAATTTTAAGGGGTTGATCTCCAACAATCGGATTTAACAGTAGAGCAGTGATCGATTGAAAAAAAAAATTTTAATTCTTAGAGCTGATCATAAGAAAAATCACTGGCAAGTAGAAAAATTCTGGCAGCTTTCCTCCATTTATTTAACCGTTTTTTATTTTGCTTTGTTCGAGGTGACGTCTTTAGCACACGTGGGTAGAGAGAAGTTTTTGGGATAGGTCACTTGTTAATCCAAATGACCCGATTTAAGTTAGGAATATAAACATTGCCTGTAGTGTATTTGACACAGATTAAGAAAAAACGTCGGTTTTATAATATATATTAAAATTGTTTGGGTTGTTGTATTAGCTGTGTTGGAAACGAAGTCAGTCGGTTCGTTCTGCCTTAGGAAAATATTTTTTAAAAATTTAAAAGTTATGTACATTGTTTAGATAGACTTAATTTTTAAAAATCAGACTTTGGATATATTATTTTTATTAGTTAATGAGATTTCCATTTGAACTTATAAAATGAATTCGAAAATGGATCAAATTTTTTTAATGCCTTATACTTTTCATGAGCGCTTCCTATATATCTAAAATTAGATTTTGCATACTAAATCAGACCATCTCGATCGTTGAATAATTAAATATTGTTTTAAACAAACAACACACACTAAATGATGAAGCCAGAGAAATGGAAACGGAGCTTTCTGATGGCAATGAAAATGACGACCGAGTGACACATATACATGAATGCTTCAGTATATATTTTTTTCATTAAAAAAAACCCCGAAGTCTTATATTGGGCCAACTTCGGAGAAATAAAGCTAAATTTGGTTTCTACTGAACAGATATATTCTTTAATGATGATTTCAAACTTCTCTCCTCAACAAAAACATAAGCAAACATTCAAAAAAAAAAAAAAAAAAAAAAATCCAATCAGATGAAAAAAAAGGTGAACGAATCTCATGAATCCTTTAAACAATACAAACTAGGAACAGAAAAAAAGACTTTTGGAACCACCAGAGTTTGGATCGGGTACCTAGGAGGAGTAAGTTTTCCCTTTCGACCGGTCACACCCGCCATAAACCCTCCATATTGGTCAGGTAAATGGAGTAATCTTTTGAAAACTTAGTATAAAATCAATAGCTAAACAATTGGTATAAAGCATATGTCAGTCAAAATACGACCCAACAATAGGTCTTACTTGCAAATGAGGTCATTAAAACGACCATAGACCATAAATGAAATTGCTGAACTGCTAATATCAACTTATTTGTATGTACCCTGCTGTCGCACTCGGAGCATGCTTTTGCTTACAGAATCATCTGGGAGACATGAACACCATATACGGGTAATAATGGAATGTCACTGCGTACATAACAGGAATTGCAATTGATGATGGAGAAACTGATATCGTTCCATTTGTCATATATGTAGAAAATTTTAAATAAATTCTGCTGCATATGAATATAAATACAGGCCGGCTTATAAAGTGGCACAATTAGTGCCTATTGAAATTTCAACAGATTTTTGGAAAACCTGGCCTCCAAAGACTATAAATAGATATTGTCATTGAGGAATTCCAGCATCCTCTTGATATCAACGTCAGAGAAATTGCATGTAGAATCAGAATACTTTTTTTTTAATCAAAGTAATTTTATAGGTGACCAACCACAACATATGAACATTTTCGATTGCCATCATTATTGATGAATCTGTTGTCTGTTGTCTATGATTTAAAAAAAGCCTGGTCTTTACTTACCGTGAGGAATGGTTGTATAAAGTGTAGAAAAGTCTTTTTGAGGTTGCTTTTGAAAAAATCTTTTAATCTTTAAATTTTCTTTAAGTTCTTTGAGTTTTGAGATTTCACATTTGATTAAAAACTACTTTTTAAATACTAGTAAGTCGTAACACAGTACGTATAAGGTTTCTTCTTCAAAGCAGTTATTAGCCCCTCGCCCCCCCCCCCCCCCCCCCAAAAAAAAAGGAGTAAACGCAGAAGCTTGGTAGAATATTTACTGGACCCGGCAATGTATCTATGAAGTTTTGGAATTCATTATAGGCACCGTAAAGCCGATGATATTTACTTTATTATTTGACTGGAAAGTTGACTGAGAGGTGTTTTTTAAGAATTCTAGCTCTGTGTTGTCTTATATCATTATATTTCAAAGTTTAGGCAATAATTATATTCGACATTTGAATGAAAAAACTATTGTTGATTGATAAAACACCATCGATATACCGAATTGAAGGCCACAGCAAACTGAACAGTTGCTGCAGAGAAAAAAATAAACGAAGCCACCAATGCTGTTCCATATATTTGTGCGAGTTATCTTTCCACACCAGAACTCTTTAAAAATCAGAAACCAATTTTCGTGTTTATATATGAAGGAAATTCGGAAGGAAAACTGTAAACACGTGTGACAATTTTTTTAAACAGTATGGAAACAGAAAAGAAGGAAATCAATTATAAGCGAAATGAAGAACAGGTAAAATTTTTACTTTTTCATGCTTTCCCATTTAATCCATCTCATTATAATTAGATCTTGTTTAACATCGTATACATCATCGTTGTCAATAATGTTCACTGAAATTCAATTATAGTAATACAAATAATTGAATGAAAAGAAAACTTAAATTGTTACTAGGGATTTCAGCAAAATTACTGGGACCTACGTACTTAGTATTCTGTATGAGTGCGGGACGGTTCGCCCCAAAAGACCATTCGCGCTGAGACGTTTCGCGCCAAAGATCTAATTAGTTTTGAGGTAATTATCACTTGTTAATGGCAATTATTAACTTCTTAATAACTTTTATACTGTGTTATATTAATTCAATCCATTGTTTCAATCAATATACTAAAGACGTGACACTCTGAAGACCTGATTGAGATAATTTTGTCTGTATGGGGGAAATATTAATAGATGATGCATACCAAAATACACTTGTAGAGAATAAAAACTGAGAATCTAACTCTATATCAAGCTATATACCCCCCCCCCCCCCGCCCCCCGCCCATAACCACACTAAAATAAAAAAAAAAGAAAATGTCAGACCTGATTTTTTAAAATGAATTCCTGTTACTTAAAAAAAAAAAAGATATTTCTAAATGACCTGATATTTTTATATGATGTGAGAAAACAGCAACTCGTGATTATTTTAATGACATGCTGATTTAAAAAACTGATCTATTTTGATATAACAGACATAGAAATAAATTAAGGCATGTCACTTGTGAAATAAGTTATATCGAAAGATTTTTTTGAGAAGTATAGTTTTGATAAGTAATTATATAGCATTACTCAAAATCACAAAGAAAATTGGAGTCAGTGTGCATCCTATTGAGCAACGGTAAAATAAACTTGATAATTAACACCCGTCTCATAATTTAATTCTCCTCTTTATCTTGACATGGAGAGTCTCCAAGTTAAAGTTATTACACCTTAATTACAAAACTGAATCAGAGAACTATGATTGCTGAATAAACATAATTATATCTGCACATGGATAATTATTATATATTCAATTATGGTATAAGCCTATTTTCAACAATTTAAACATGAAAGTTTATTTTAGTAACTTTAGAACATTTTTTTTAATAAAGTCAATATTAACCTTATATATAAATATTTATCTTAATATATCGTTATAGAAATTGTAGATTAAATATGGCGCGAAACATGGTTTTTGGGGGCGAATGGTCTCGGCGCGAACAATCAATAGGGGCGAAACGTCCCGTTACCTTCTGTATGTACACTTAGTATATCACAGGTAAAAGTGGCTTACATAAAATTTATATGAAATTCACATGAATCACGACATTACCCCAGAAGGTGGCTTGTGATTTAAAGGAAGAAGAATTTCATGTAAATTCTTTGCATGAGAAAGAGACGAAAAACAAGACATGTGAAATTTATGTGAAAACTTTCAGCCATTTTGACCTAACTTTCATATGAATTTTACATGAAGAGCATATCACATAAAAAATCGTGCAGAGAAAACTTCACATGAAAGTTCTAAAAAATGTATATGTGAATATCATACAAACTTATTTACATGATATTCACATGAAAAAAAATATTTATATAATTTTTACATGATTTTCACATAATTTTCAAATAAAAAGATAATCACATGAATACCATGTAAGCCACTTTTCCCTGTGATATATTACGTTACATGTAGTCTATACACTGATGTAGGTCCTTGAAGTATTAAAATGGCAAAGCTTTCATCACAACCTTACGTTTTTGATTATATATTCTTGCTTGTCAGTTGTATTTTAAATCAAAGTAACTGGTTGTGAATCCTGTCAAACTATTTTTATCACACAGCGGAAAGACTGGAAGAAAATACGTGAGGAAAGAAGGACACTGAAAAGAAAATGGAAGGAAGAAAAGTTACTGAAGAAGATGGAAAAAGAAGCTAAGAAACAAAAAGAACTGGAGCAGATAAGTAAAGACAACTCTACAGAGAAGAAACGGGGACGAGTCTACACTGTCTCCATAGCTCTACCAGGATCTATACTGGATAATGCACAGTCACCAGAACTTAGGACCTACTTAGCAGGACAGGTAGGTGATGGAAACCCTTGCTTGCCCAGGATGTACTATATCTGTGCATAGCCAAATGTGTCTCATATGAATCTCAAATGACAAATAGTGGTGACTTTATCTAAAGAAGGGAAATATTTTGTGTCTTTCTTGGAATGTACAGTGTCTTCTGTGCCTATTATGAATCTCTCGTGAGAAGAATTTCACATGAATTTCATATGAAAAATTTCATATGAATTACACTTACATTAAAGTGTCAATCATCAATCATGTTAATGAATTTTAAAGGCTTTCATTGTTTAAATGTGTTTTCCCTGAAATTTCATGTAAAATCCATAAGAGGCACATTTGCTCTAATGGATATTCATACTTCTAGATATCAATATTTCTAGAGATCATGCAGTACTACATGGACTAGATAACCAAAAGTTTAATTATAAAAAAAAAAACTTACTACCTCAATCATGTTGAACTTGATGAGTTTCACTCATTTTGTATTGATTAATGGACTTTTGAGCTTGAATACTGTTCGTTATCTCCATATATTTCATTTCACTTAAATTTCAAGATAACAATGCTAAAAAAGTCACTGGGAAATGAACTTACTGGTATTATTAACATTGTTATTTATTACTTATATTTACATTTGAGGCAAACATTCAAATAGAATCATTACACTAACAACCTGTTGAGCTGTAGTCTGCATGTTGCATCAAGCTGTGACCTACGTCACATGCGTCTTTGATCCCTCATCCTTGGGCAAATTCATACAGAGATGAATTTTTTCTCTTGAAGTAGCTCTTCTGTAAATTGACGTAAGAAAAAAATATTCACAAATGTAATATTATTGCTTACTTACAGATTGCCAGGGCAGCTGTGATCTTCAACATTGATGAAATCATCATCTTTGATGAGATATTCTCTAAAGACTCCTCCATTGAGGGAGAATTCCAGGGAGTGGGCAAGAAAGGTCATGCTAATGTACAGATGGCCCGCATCCTTCAGTATCTGGAGTGTCCGCAGTACCTCCGAAAATCATTCTTTCCACACCATAAAGACCTCCAGTATGCAGGGATACTTAACCCCCTGGACAGTCCCCACCACATGAGAGCAGAGGATGAAGTGTTATATAGAGAGGGAGTAGTGCAGAATAAACCGGTCAAAGCTGGGAGAGGGTCACTGGTCAACTGTGGGTTAAATAAGGTAAGAGGAGAGGCCATTGTAATACTGCAATCATTGGAATGTTTGCGTGGGGAAAATTTCTGCAAATTCTGCAATTAGTAAAGTTTCTCAAAATTTATCACCATGTAAACATTTTCATGTAAGGAACCATACTTAACAACACAATTTGTATATACTTTAACCTCTGCAAAAATAACCTCCATGCAAATGCTTTGTTCCTTGGAAATTGCAAAATACTGCCCCCTAAAAATATCCCCTTTTTCAGTAGTTCATGAATTTAAGTACTGTAAATCACTTTTTATTTGCGCAAGCTTTATTTTAGTGTATTTTTGTGAGACGGTCTGCTCGCAAAAATTTCATTCTCTCGTATATTTCTTGTTAGTATAGATTATATACAACAATGCCCAGAATTTGTGAAAATTTTGTCTCGTTAATAAATACAAAATACCTATCTCGCGAAAATAAGGTGTCATGAAAATTTGGTGGTCTACAGTATTGAAAATACCGGTGGCTAGGTCACTAGTTAACTGTGGTTATATTAGTTAGAATAATCTAACTGTGTCTCGGGACAAGCCCTCACCACAAAACCGGGTTAAACCGGGTCCGTAGGACAATATCATTTTAACAATAGAACGTTCTATCTATGGTTATATAAGGTAACTATTAAAAGAAGATGGGTAAATATTTCAGTAGAGTCACTAGTCAATTGTAAGGTACAGAAGTTAAAAATGCTATGAATACAACTGCAGTGAAAATAAAACTTTTTTTAACACAGTATCATATTTATTTCAGCAAGATGTACAGATAGACAAACTTCTACAACCTGGAATTCAAGTCACAGTGAGGATAAACCAGTATGATTCATCAAGGAGGATATTAAAAGGCCAGGTGGTATCCCCGTCTACCCCAAGGGAAGATTCTGGTCTTTACTGGGGTTACTCTGTCAGACTTGCCAAAAGTATTGGAGCAGTGTTTACTGAGTGTCCATACAAGGATGGCTACGACTTGACGATAGGGACATCAGAGAGAGGGGACTGTGTAGACAATGTTAAGATTGACACAAGTTTTGGTCATGCTTTGATTGTGTTTGGTGGTGTACAAGGACTTGAGGCGAGTCTGGAGTCAGATGAGGCATTAGATATTGATGACCCCAGTTTATTGTTTCAGTATTATATAAACACTTGCCCTAACCAGGGAAGTCGAACCATTCGTACAGAAGAAGCTATACTTATCAGCCTCGCCTCCATCAGACCCAAATTAACAGGTCTGGGAAAAACTTGATGTTTTATTCTATATAAAGGTGTAAAAATGTACAGGTAGTAAATAAATGTAACAACTGCATAGCATTATCTTTGATATTTAATGACATTTGGATCTATCAACAATTAAAACAACTTCAAAAACTACCAAACATGTATACAGTGAAGTATGTAAAACCTTATCAAAATGGGATAATATACATAAATAAGTGATTTCTACTCCCCTATAACTGAACTACAACAATAATGTTATTGATTTAATAATTAGAATAAGGAATAAAATTATTTCAAATTAAAAAATGTCTTTGATGAGTTAAAGAGGTGCTCTAGAGGAGGTGTGGTTTTCTTAGTGAATATAGTCTTACCATTACTCCATCAATGCTAGGGTTTCAGGGTGAGATACTTTTGACCAGGTGCCCAGAGGGTGTATACAAAGCAAAGAGACACAGAATTAACTGAAGCTGTTGCTGTAGGAGTATTTGTCCTTCAGAACTGTGTTGCATTAACAGCTAGCTAGTGATATTTCAGAGAAATTGTAATCATGGTACATTGCACATCTTCCAGTAAAAATAAATAAACTGTACCTCACCTGGGTTTTGACATCCCCTAACAGTCAGTATAATTTCACTTTCATGAAAAATCAAGCAGTCCTGTCTATCATGAGATTAACATGATTTATGTGGTAAGAAATGGGTATACAACAAAATCCTCTTTTTCATTTTATGTTTCAATTGTCAGTGAATGGAAAGACATCAACTTTTTACCTGCCCAAGATATTGATAACTGAAAAATACCATTTACAAGTATCTCTCTCTGTGTCTCTCTCTCTCTCTATATATACACTGTAAATGTAGTTAAATTGGCAGTATTTGTATTTAAGCATGCCTCTTGCCACCAATTCATGTACACACCAATACATGATTAAACCTAATTACAGTTGAACTTCGTTATCTCAAACACTTGTATCTCGAATATGGTACTATGGAAATGTTGAAGCGATTTCAAAGTCCCAAACGCTTATTCCTTAAGTATTTTACCCTGGATATCTCAACGTATTTCCTTGGTCCCATTGAGTTTGAGAAAATGAGGTTTGACTGTAGTTGTTTTTAAAATCAAGTGCACTTGTAAATGATTGGACTAATCCGATGAAAAGGAAAATGCTAAATTTTGTGTGTGCTAATTTAAGTATGTTTACAGTATATAGCAGTGGAGCCTCATTAATCCCAGTACATGTGTTCCAAAGCAAATCATCCATATTAATGAAACATCCAGATTACAGAAATGTACCTTAATTTAAATTTCATAATTGGTAAGATACAAATTAAATTCAGTTCTCTACAAATCTGGTCTGAAAGGTGAAGCATCCAGATGAACAAGGCTCTACTGTATTGTGTAGAACTCCATTATTGGGATACCATATTATTAAATATTATGAATTTTCTGCTGTCAGATGTAATGCTCATGTTCCACAAAAAGCCTTTCTTTTTATGCACCCCTTTGAAAGTAGGGGGCATATTGATTTATCGGTCAGTCGATATATTGGTCGGTTGGTAGATGAAGTGTTATCTGCTCAACATCTTGACAACCCTTTTCACTTGATACACTGGTACCCCCTGAAGAGAAGACAACCCCTATTTTGACATCAAAATCAAAGGTCAAACTACTTTGGATATAGGAAAATATTGTCAATATCTTCATGACTCTTGGCTAGACAGACATCAAACTTGGTACAATGGTTCCCCTAAGGAGAAGATGACCCCATTTGAGGTCACAAAGTCAAGGGTCAAACTGGATATTATATAAATACTGCATGTAATTGAGTGTAACATTGAAAATTTTCATCCCAAGAAAACCATTGTCAAATGAGGCGCAGCTGAGGTTGATAATGGTTTTCATAGGGTGAAAACTTTAAATATTACACTCAACTACATGCGGTATTTATCATATTATACTGAATCTTTTATACAGAATCATATAACATTTAACCGTGCGCACATAAAGTCTGCTCAGTCAATATTTTTTTTGGAATATCACCCGTTGTCAAGCAATGCTGACCGTTGCTATGCTGGAGGGCGTGGTTTCATAATCAAGAGGGTAGTAGACTAAGTGTTTTTTTAACAAATGAGATTCAACTAATTTACATGAAAGTATAATATAGGAAAATATTGACTGCTCAATATCTTGACAACCCTTTGCTTGACAGACATCAAACTTAGTACACTGGTACCCCCGAAGAATAGATGTCCCCTACTGATTCTGAGGTCACAATGTCATGGGTCAAACTGGACAAAGAAAGATATTGACTGCTCAATATTTTTAGACCATCTGCTTTAAGGACATCAAACTTCATACACTGGTCCCCCCAAAGGAGTATCCCTATTGATTTGGAGGTCACAATGTCCATGGATCAAAATAGACATACGAAGATATTGACTGCTCAATATCTTCAGAACCCTTTACTTAACCAATACTAAACTTTGGTACATTAACTACATTTGTTCCCCTTAAGGAGTAGCTGACCGCTATTGATTTAGAGGCCACAATGTCAAGCTGGATATAGGAAAATATTGACTGCTGAGTATCTTGAAAACCCTTTGCTTGATAGACATCAAACATCCCCTTAAAGAGTAGATGACCCCCTGTTGTGAGGTCACAATGTCAAGGGTCAAACTGGACATAGGAAGGTACTGACCACTCAGTATCTTTAGAATCTTGAAAGTAAATTACTCCTCATGATGTGGAGGTCAGATAGAGATCAATTTTGAAATATGTGTGCCTCTGACTAGTACATAACTTATCATTTCAGACATTCTAAATATAAAGCTGATCCTTATTAATATTGTCATGTGGGGGATAGAGGGGAAGGGGAGGGGGAGGGGGAAGGGGAGGGGGGTCATATATATGTTTCTAAACCACTTCTTGTCATTACCAACTTGTAAAATAACTCAATGAATCATCTGTTTTAGTCATTTATTTATTGTACTTTAAATGTTATCAAAAAGTTTGTAAATGTATAACAAAGCAACAACTGTCTCAACACATAAATAACAGAAAAAAATTGACACAATCCTCTAGCAGTCCACCATTCAAGCAGCAGTCATCCTTCACTAGGACTCGGGCAATATACTCAGGCAGTGAGATCATATATTAATGTGATAAAATTGTGTTCCATTGAGAAAAATAAAGAACATTATTGTAACATAAACCTGTGGCCATCAAGTTTAGTAAGGTATTAAATCTACATGAAAAAGTTTGTTACATACTGTTTATAAAATAATTTTCCCCCTCTTTTATTTTATTTTTATTTTAAGGAGAATAGACATGACAACCCACTGTTTTAGATTTAAATAATGTTAGAGAAAAAAGCAGATTCAAAAGTTGTGGCATCTATAGAAAAAGAATCAGCAGATAAGTCCCCCCCCCCCCCCCAAAAAAAAAACTATGAATTTTACAGTAAAAAGGGGTAATCAGTCTATAAATATCAAAATAACTTTGGTTTGTGCAAATGGTTTTAGCCATGGAAAATTGTGGCATTTCAAGGAAAAAATTGCTACAAATGATTATTTCACCATGTTAACTTAAAAATGCCAAAATTCAGAAGAATACTTCTTTGCATTACATGTATATAAAACTACATCTCTAGCATTTCCTACAAATCTAAATTGTACATGTACTTTGTAAAATACTAATATTCAATCAGTTTTTGATACTTGAAGGATTAATGATTTAATTTAACCAAATCGCAAACTTTTCATTTAGAACTCTTACAACTAAAAGAAATCTATCCATATAATTTCATTAAATCCTACTATAAAAATGTTAATATTTGTAATTATCACATTTTCTCAATATTAAAAGGAAAGAAAGTAAAGTATTGTGTAGGCTATAAGTCCTTATTGCTTACAGTCTTAAGTAAATTCAGAGTTCATTTTATACAGGTACATGTATTGACAATTCAAAAGAAATCTAAAGTTTTTGCTAGCAAGGATGAAAGCACTTTTTTATGAACTTGCATAGAAGTTCTATTACAAAACATGATACAATGAAATGAAGATGACATTTGGCACAATTTTATTGCATCTGTTGTAGCAATATCTCCTGCTAAAAAAATTCATGAACATGATTTTGATGGAAGACGAGATGAATATAAGAGAAAATGTAAGTAGTTTAAATGGTGAAGATGTATTCACTTGAGTAGTGTCCTTTTCCAACATCATCATATTATACTACATGAATGTTGAGTATGTCATATTTGGGTAAGTATAATGGGTCATATTCATCCATAATTATGTCTACATTACAACTTACTTTATAAAGACTTTGCAGCTAAATATATTTTAATTCCTTTACATCCATACATTTAATATCCTTAAAACTCTTTATCAGTTTATAAATTGCATTAAAAAAAAATCTGAATGAAGTAAGTAATGGTAGAATAAGAAAGATGTATGAAATGATTTGTTTTAGACCAGATTGAGCTAAAAAAAAATTGTGCACTTTACTGAGGTAAACAGATATTCCAACAAAACCACAGCAGTTCAAAACATTCTGCACTGGTGAATATTGTGTAGCAGGTAAATTGTCATTTTGATTACCATGAAAAACTTTAAAGGGAAGATTTATTTTATCAGTTGTGAAGAAACATCTTCCTTGTTGAGCAATGTAAACATGATGCCTATCATGACATGTTAATGTCGAAGGTTAGCCCTTGCCCGGGGCGTAAGTTTTCTTATTCGACCTCGGCTGCTTTTCATGACCTCTGAATTTCCATCCGATTCATCAGTATCACTGTTTTCCTCAGGGGAAATATAACGAGCCCTCTTTTTAGTCCTGTATGATGAAGAAGCACCATCACCATACTCAAAGTCACTGTCTTCTTCGTAACGGACGGTCCGTTTTCCCTGATTTCGAGTTTGTCGAGACCCTGAAGCACTGGCTTTACCCTTCCCCTCCCTTGCTTTGTTAGGTTGGCTCCTACTGGAGTCAACTTCTGTTCGTAACCGAGGAGCCATCCTCTTTGGGCGAGTGATGGGGCTTTCTTCTGAGTCGCTAGATTTTGAGTCCGACTCCGTTTTGGAAT